TTCGAACAAATATTTCATAGAAGAAAACGAGATCTATCAATAATCGTGTCAGATCTTAGATACGCCGAGGTATTGTAAAGTCAAATCTACCCATTACACTCGTAGTCACAACCACATTCGTACCCGCAGTCATACCTGCACATACATAGCACACTGTATACCCCACACCCATATCCCACTCTTCTGTGGCTTCTCTCAACGAATGCAATGGGTAGATTTGACTTTACAATACCTCGGCGTATCTAAGATCTGACACGATTATTGATAGATCTCGTTTTCTTCTATGAAATATTTGTTCGAAGCCATTATATTTGGAACACGACTTCTACTATTGGTGATCGAAAGATCGTCTACTAAACATGTTTATTTTTCTTTGTTGAACTTCAAATCACATACTTAACTTTGTTTTTGTGTAAAACAGACAACATTCAAAAGCCGCACTAAACATCATATTCAGTCTTTCCACTTCGAAAGCTGTCCATAAATTTCTTCATTGCAGCTTCGGGCACTTTAACCTGCTTTACGATATTAGTCGCTTCCATCGCTTTGATCCAAGCAGCAAGTTTGGGAAATTTTCCATCAGCATTGAACACGTAGCCGGCTTCATGCAAGAATGGAAATCGCTCGAACCATGGCCAAATCATATAATCAATCATAGCTGGCGTTGACCCACCAAAGAATGTGTTTTCAAGTGTTTGCTCGAACAGAACCAAACTTTCATTTAAATCTTTGATAGCGTTCGCAACATCTTGTCCCTTGATGACTGTATAATATGCATAAGTAGCCTATGATGAAAAAGGAGTTTATGAGGAACAATTTATAGATTTTACATTTCGACCTGGCTAATAATCTTCATCGAAGGAAGAATATGTGAATATACAAAAAAACTCTAAGTGATTTGGTTTTCGGAGACCTTGTGCTTTTAATTGTTACTGTTTTCTTTGGTTATACCAATCTCTGGTAAGGTATGCATGGAAAAGTTCAACGACAAAAAGTGAATCTGAGAGTTTGTTGATATATATCTATTGTCGCTCATAGCCTAATTGAACAGTTTATATAGCAGTAAATAATGTGTTCATGAGATATTCAATCGCAGAAAAGCTCACTTTGGTCTGATCGCTCAAGTATAAAATGTGAATACTCCTTAAAAATCTTATATCTCAAAGGTCAAGCATTGCTTCTGTCTGCAATTAATGGGATATTTAGTGGAGAACACATGGAGTCAGGTAACAGCTAAAGTAAATTTATCAATGATTTTCCAATTATTTTTCGTCTCTTGAAATCCCACTAATGCAGCGATAACTACTCAGTAAGGACCTGTGCGACTGAATGATTTCTTTGGTGAGAAGTAAATTATCTTTGTTTGCCTTTTTTTTTCAGTCTTACATTTCCCATTCGATCGACTAAAACACGTTGTTTCGCCTTGAGATAAGGATCGAGTGGGTGCAAACGATGTTCAGGATATTTCTCATCCAGGTAGTCACAAATAATGAGCGACTCAGGAACTAATGCTGTCTGTTTTGTATTGGCATCGATCCATTCCAAAGATGGAACTTGACCACTTGGATTTTTTTTCAGATACCATTCAGGTGGATCAGCAAGGTTAATATAGATTTCTTCGTAACTAAAAGTTGAAAAATATCAAAAGAAGGCAACAGTATATGACTAGAATCGTACGAAATGCCTTTTGCAGCCATAACAAGTTTGGTTCGTTGAACGAATGGACAAAAACGCATCCCATAAAGACGTAAATGATTCTCCTTCAATGAAGGACATTCGGAACCTGTCATTTTATAATAAGCTCCACATAGTATTTTGAACAAAACAAGAAAATGAACGTACCCGACTTAAGATGTTTAGGACCACCAGCAGCCATTCTTGATCAATCTGAAATGAAATTTCACAATAAAGAGTACAAGTGAAAACAGTTGTGTTTTTATATATTTCAAAGAAAACGCCTTGTCATCATGATGCGTTGCTTGCTTTTTTCTCTTGCTGCCTGTGTCAACATGTGACGAGAGAGAAAGCCGCATGAAAAAGCGTTACATCGTCACATAGTCATTATTTGTCTTGCAACTAGGGCAAACTTTCAATGAAAGCGCCTTTTCTTCTTCATAAGAAATGAATCACTTGATAAAAAAAAATTTGAGAGAAAAAATTGTGATTGGACGCCTCGGAACAAACAGCTTCTATTCCTTTTATGTTGAAAAAGACGTGTAGAAGCTTTCTATTTTGCACTTTATTCTCTTCTTTTCTTGTGCAACTTTTTTTCTTTCCTGCGTTGGTTGCAAAAAAAAACAAGACTACGCCTTGAGATCTGGCTGGTTCACAGTAAATTTTTTTCTCTCTCGCAGCCAGTAGAACGAAGCAAAGAAAGGAGAATAAAAAATTGTAGACACAGTGTAGGAAGTGGAGATGAAGGAGTAATCTTCTGCTTGAACAGCTTTTCACGAGTTACCCAACAAACAAAAAAACAGAAAAAACACTCTTCTGAATTTTAAGTATATGGCAAAAGAGTATTAGCATTTTCCCAAGTAGTACTCCTAAGTTTGATACTGCCATACTAGACGTTTTTGAGAAAACCATCTACAAGCAGTGTAACTTTTGTTGTTTCAAAGAGCAATGCAAGCTCATCACTACAATTATCTGTACATGCTCTGTCAGTCTTTGACGTGCTAGATAAGGAGATGCGGTGATTCTTTTTTGATCTCTTCAGAGTTAAATGAATCTTTAGTTGTATGATGGTAAACTATGGAAAATCGTCCGACTATGAGTCATCAGATGGAAACTAGAAGAGAGCGTATTCATGTCCATCTTTGCTTACAACATGTACGTTTATTTCATATTGTATTAACTCGTTAATTAAAGCACAATGTCGCTCTTTGCTTTCTTTCAGAGAAAAACAGCGCTGATATACGAGAAACCTGAACAGCTAAACAAATGCAGAAGTCAAATGAAAAACAATGTGCTCCGTAGATCTTTCGGACTGTTTCTTGCGAGCTACAAAACAGACACATGGTTAATAATTGATTAATACTAGATTGAAACAGAAAAAGTCTTGGCAATAGAGAAAGGACGCCCATGACAGAATAAAAGAGCTTCGCTACATTTTTTTTTATTGTTCAAACCATAGAGATTTTCTGAAAAATCCTTCATTCAATTTTGTACGAGTTCCTTGCCAAAACCTTTAGTGTTTGAAGCGTCATGAGCAAAGTAAAGAGCAAACAATCAACAATAATAAACGAACTAATTTTCAAAATAAAAAAAACCTTGTTTTCGATCTTTTATGACGGTCATGGGAAAAAAGAAAATAAAACAGGTTTTTGTAGTATTCCTGCAAATAATTTTATCAATTAGTGTTTATAGAAAAAAAAGTGCAACCTAGTCGCTTCCGGCTTAAATTGTAGAGCACAATAGTTCCCTTCCATTCTTAACGGTACCAAAGGAGACAAAATTTTGTAAAAACGCATTTAAATGCTCAAAAGGGAACCACGATTGTGAGTCATTCACGCTAATTATTAAAACGCCAGAAACGCCATTTTTAGCGTGAAATGATCACTTTTAGAGCGTTTGAACGGTCAAAACCCGTACTATTAGCATTGAAATACATGCTTTTTAAATTCTGGAACAAAAGCGCGTTTAAACACGTTTTGCCAAATTTTTGTCTGTGTGGGCTTAGCTTACAAACATCGAATAGGAGTAATCAAAATTTTTGTCCAATCTATCTTCGGATCATAATCTGTGATTTTGATTTGTCTATCGTAGTTTGTGTGATACGAGAGGAAGAGGGAGCCAGGATATGACTGAATATTGTTGCTGTATACTTCTAGATCGGTTAACATTAACACCCATCTTTCACAATAGTATGCGTGGTGCATCTCAACTAGTTCATAGCAAGTCTGGCTCTAGTTTTTGAGCAGCAATAGATCAGATCTGAGGGGAACTGAAATCAGAACGGCTCTTGAATTCGTAAGGGTCCATTAGAGTAGGAAGAAACAGATGCAGTTCGAATTTCAAGAAAGGTTGTGGGCGAGCATATTCACGAGTGCTGCCGTTTACTCACTCTCTTATCCACTCAACTACAAGCATCTTGACACTCTGGACTCATCGACAACCAGTTATCCACGGACACTCATTTACTCTGGAACACTCTTGCCTCCCGCACCTACTAGTATACCAAAACTCACCGCCCTCATGTTGGTGTGGGTGGTTGTGGCTGCGGCTGTTTGTATTTTTGCCTGCGGGATTCAATGAGGACCAGGTTCACACCTACATCTACCTTTTCTTCGCTTCCAATGATTAGAGTTGTCTAGTTGAAGGTCCAGAGTCCTTGTAAACTCATTTATGACAGTGACCTCCCCATTCCTAGCATCGACCAATCACACTCGAGAAAGCTGTTTCTCAACTATTGTTAAGAAAAAGAATATTGAGGTTCGGGTCCTAGAAAAGAGGACTCGGCTAACCTCATTATTGATCCAAAACAACATCATATTCGGTTCTCACAATAGAGAAAACAAGCGCCGCTGAGATCTGGTGGCTGATCACTTTTTTACTATGCACCAATCAAGTTTCAGCTTGGTTTTTTCTTATGCTAAGAACAAAGCAACCAGTTGTTCGGGCCAATCCTAGGATGATCCCGGATCTTCTTTCATTTGATCTCAATATGAGCATGTTTTGTCCTTACAACAACTGAGAAACAGCTTTCTTGAGTGTGATTGTTCATTACTAAGAATGTAGAGCTTATTTCATGAGCGTAAGCTGTAAACCCTACACACTAAAATAAAATGTGTCGTATTTATGTGTTGTGCAAGAATGTGTCGCAGACTCCATGACGAAAATGTGGCGCAGTCGAATTTGTTGCACTTTGATGCGTCATAGTCTATATGTCAATCGTTTATTCACCGTTTTGTTTCCCGCATGCAGCTACATATAAACAAGCCTATTTGACGTATTTAACTTATACATTTTCGTATATTTTTTTAGATGATTTTGCGACCATTATTATTCGACAGCATCACAAGAGGTCGCTAGATACATGGCCAAAAATGGACGACCTCAAAGTGGTTCGATCGAGATCAAAGGATCTCGAAATGGTCGTATCTTATGAATTGATGGTCTCGAGGTCCACTAATAAATATTACTAATTCAAAATGAACTGAAAAAGTAATAATTCTTCGAATTCTCTAAGAAAAAAACAATCCACGTGCCCAAGAATGTATCGGATGTGTCGCAAAAAATGTATCGTGAGTCTGCTGAAGGAAATGTGTCGCAACGAGCTCCTCGTGTCGCACTTTAATGTGTGGTACAATATGTCGTAAAATACGACACATTTTATCTTAGTGTGTAGTCTGGAGTTGATCAAAATTACAGATGAACTGGACGAAATCCTCTTAAAAAATGGTTCGAATTGACAGATCTTTGTCAGGCATTGGCCAAAATGGATCCAAAGGACCCCGCACGGTAAGAGTGGAAATCTGCCGCCCCCCTAAGATGATATTTTGATATCATTATTGTGTACCTCGGTCCTTACCTCACATTTATTCACTTCAGTTTTTTCAAAAGAATTCTTACTTATTGAGATAGACCTTCATCTTTATGGCCAGGTAATGGGATCGAATAGGAGCATATTTTGACCCTTGAATCGCACTTTTCTCTGTCATAAAAAAAGTTTTTTAAAATTCTAATTGCATATTTAGAATCAGCATTAAAGGCTTTCTCGCTCTGCATAACTTTTGTTTTTTTGAAAATTTTTAATGTTCAAAAAAAAATTCAAACAAAGTCATCCATGTATATATACATTGAATATATACGAAATCTTGAGATGACATTATCTCAAAAACAGGAAATAATCCATCGCCGAAACGTTCTCAAAAACTTACTTATATACTCAGCTTTCTTTTGATATCATCGCAATTTTAAAATTACTTGTCCGAAGTCCCACTCTAAACCTAACCATACCCAAATGACGCCATATTGTGTAGAAATCCTAGTCGTATTTGGCGATTTTAGACATCAGCAATTCGTTTCCAAGCAAAATACATGTAATATTCGAAATCAGCATCAAAATCTGAGTCGAGTAACGTGTCTTTTTTTAAATATTTTTCACCAAAATTATCTCTGTACACCCC